ATGTGGACAGATAGACTTTCTTCCTTTTCCAAATTGTTCATCATAGATTGTGTAAATGGGAGCCTGTACAAGTCTGATACCATGCAAGTTTAACAGCTTCGATGTCTTGTTAAGCATGTGCATCCAAGCGATGGAGGACGCCGTTTGAGCGGAAGCAAGCGAGGAAGAGTTCCTCAATAATGTAAAGTCTCTTCACAGAACCCGTATATACATGTCATACGGTCGAGCCATATGAGCGATATCCACGGCGCATCAGCGAACGACGTGGAATTATCAGTTTCGCTGCAAATACAGTACTTCGTAGGGACAGGATAATGACGAGGACAGCTTGCCGAGAGATACAATGGCCACCTTCGACACCTGTTGATTGGCGGAATGCGTTCTGACCATGACACTAGGCCAATAGGAGTGATTCCCATATGGTGACCTTGCTGGACAATGAATGAGGATCCGGACTGCAGAGGGCAGGCTGTGATGTCCGCAGAAGTATTTGGTTGTTCCAAGAACATTTTAATACGCAAACCAGGCAGCTACATTACTCATGAGTCCTGCACTGTCGTCGGAGTGAGCGCCACATCGCTAGATGAAAAAGGCTATGAAACAGTGACAGAAAGAATCGCTCCGGCTGCATTTCAGCCGCACCAGAGACAAGAAAGGGAAACCTACACTATCAACAATACGAGTGCACCACCTCTCCCATGACCCGCACGCCCAGCAATACGCCCGCCACCCTGTCGTCTCCGCCCACTCCTTCCCGCCGCAGCCCATGCACCCGACGGACCGCCGCCCGCCGCTGCCCATCGACATCAAGCCGGTCCAGAAGCCCACCGCCACCTACGAGCTGGATGACTCCCCGCCCATCGAGCCGCACATCGTCATGCAGATGGGCGGCATCCCGTACGCAGACCTGTGCAAGGAAAAGGTCCGTGAGGCCTTCAAGGAGATGAAGAAGAACGAGCACATGGCCAAGGGCGAGTTTGACCAACAAGAAGCAACAAGTGGCGGGAGCAGAGCCGAAAACCTCACTCTCCCTTGCCACACGCGCGTTTCAAGCTCCTGCCCCCGAAAATCCGCGCATACAAAAGATCGAAAATCCAATCGGCACTGTCCCGTGAACTACTCAGAACAGCCAATGGTTTGGCCATGAACAATGTGGCGGCGGGCCACGTCCAAACGACCGGCTCATATTGCTCACCTGGGGCGCAGCGTGAGATTCGTGTACGCCAGTCTACCGCCATTCGCGGCTCAGGTTGCATCGCCACTCAACGCCCATCAAATATCCCCCTTCCGCTGCCGAAGCGCATGCGCCTGTCAGTGTGCCGTGGAGATACACAAAGAGCCAAACAGTGGCTCCCTTGCCGTTTTCAGCCTCATGATTCGGACCTCCCTCGACCACCGCACCTCGACTTTTTCCCATCTTTTCTCAGCACAAACATCTAAATAAGGTTTAAGTCATCCCTCTGCCCATCCTTGTCCCTTTTGACTCCGCAGAATCGTCATTGGTCTTCACTTTACCCTCGTCTCGAAACGAACCCTCTCTTCGAAGACCAAGGCCGCTTCTCTCTTGTCCCAACCATCCTCTATTGTTTCGAGTTCCCCCGAACAACGATAGAACCCAATGGCCGCCCTCCGCTCCCTCGCCTCCGTCAGGCGTCGCGCCGGGCTCCTTGTCGCCCCTAGGGTATCTAGCTTTGCCAACTCGGTTCCGGCGTCTTCCTCCTACGCCTCGTCATTCTTCTCGCGATCCGTCCCGACGCGTTCGTCCTTTTCCAACTTGTCCCAATACGCTCGCACCTTCTCCGCTGTCCCGGAGCTCTTCAGCGCCACGGACTCCTTCGCGAAAAGGCATAACAACACCTCGAGGGACGTGTCAGAAATGCTTGCGTTCCTCGGCTTGCAGGACATCAATCAGCTCATCGACCAGACTGTTCCGTCTTCCATTCGCAACAATCGCGACTTAGAGGTAGGCCCGGCCCTTTCCGAGACCGAGGCTTTAGCCAAACTCAAGGCAATGGCTAGCAAAAACAAGCTTTACCAGAACCATATCGGCATGGGCTACCATGGCACTCTCACCCCACATGTCCTCCTCCGCAATATTTTGGAGAACCCTGGATGGCACACCCAATACACACCGTACCAAGCAGAGATTGCCCAGGGCCGGCTTGAGTCCCTGCTCAACTATCAAACTATGGTGGCCGACATCACTGGTCTTCCAGTTGCGAACGCCTCTCTCCTCGATGAGGCCACGGCCGCCGCGGAAGCCATGTCTATGTGCTTCAACATCGCCCGTAGAAAGAAGAAGTCTTTCTTCGTCAGTGAGCTCGTTCACCCTCAAACCATCGATCTGGTCAAGACTCGTGCCGAAGGATTTGGTGTGGAGGTCATTGTCGGTGACCACAAGACATATGACGTCGCTGCGAACAAGGACCTTTGCGGTACCTTAATCCAATACCCGGCCACTGATGGATCCATTGATGACTACGAACCATTCATCGCGGCAAGCAAATCTGCTGGTGCCAAGGTTGTCATGGCCACTGATCTTCTCGCTCTCACAACTCTTAAGTCACTCGGCTAGATAGGTGCCGATTTCGCTGTCGGTAACTCCCAGCGCTTTGGTGTTCCGATGGGATACGGAGGCCCTCACCCGGCTTCCATTCAAAGAACTTAAATTTCGCTGATTCTCATCTGCTGCGCTAGCCCCTGCGATCGTTGAAGCCGATACAAAAGAGAAGGACTGGCGCGCCCTGTTTCGATTCCCTCCTCGCGACAGTAGCAACTCGTTCGGCAACGCGGTCCTTCCCTGCTTCCTCCGCGTGGCCGACCCTTCTCTCCCTCTCTTCCAACTTGCGCACCCACGCATGTAGCCTCCCCTGCTCGACGCCCGAGTACTTCAAGCTGGCGAAGAAGGAGCGGGAGGGGCGGGGGATGAACACGAGCAGCGTGAGGGCTTCTTGGAATTGACAGGGACTTTAACTAGCTCCCTCACTTCAGCCACGCGCAAATTTTTTGCTTCATCTCCGCCAAGGAGACGAAGCACATCTTCGGTTAATGCGAACGGATACCTTGAAGCGCTATCATGGACAATACCACGGTTGCAGTCCAGCGCAACGCAATGATCTACAATTCCGTGTTCCACTATTCGGACTATCCACACGCCTTGATTATGGTGCGCAAGCCACTTGAAAGGATTTGCATCGAACGCCTTCTTCACAGCTTTAGGAACTCGGCGCACTGATAGTTGAGCGGGAATTTGGTGAACCAGAGAAAAGAGTTGCTTGAGTGTTTTGATCTTCATCGGATGCTTCCGAAGGTACTTGTCGACGCTTGTTCCTCCTGTGGTACCATATAGCGCACAAGTGCCGTTGGACAGCGCAGCCGACACGCATGAATCGTCGTTGCTGCGCACGAGGTTCGGGCCATACTGGTGCACCTGAAACCTTCTTGATCCAGTGATTTGACCGCGTGCCCCAATACCACCGATGAGTATCGGCACACCGCGATGGGCCATCATCCACGCATACAGTCGACGGAACATCTCTTGCAAAAACTTTCTCTTGCGCGGCAAGTCGTTGGTACCATCATCTATAGCGTTTAATAGAGCCTGCATCGTGTGAAGGGATAGTGTAATCGAATTGGCATCGATAGGCCAGAAACTTTCGTCACCGCCTGTCAATCCGGCGGCAGCGTACAAAACGCCGTCTTGCGTTTTGTGGCCGCTTGCCCCTTGTCGGCCATCACCAATCATCACCCTGTCAATCGCCCAGCTCATGGTGTCCAAGAATACTAGGAATGTTGCACCTCCCCGGAGATCTGCACAAACTTCCGTTCTTAATGGACACGCGTGAGATGGGCGCCGGGCTCTTTGGTGCGGGGTCCGGGTCACTTGGAGACGCGGCCGCGGTGCACCGTGCTAGAGGCAGGGTGAGCAAGGCGATGAAGAAGACGGGTGAGGGCATTGCGGCGAGATGTGCGGGGGGGGGGCTGGGGAACGTAGACGCCGAAAAATGGCGGGTTCAGAAGGCAGAACGTACGCCGCGTTACCGCGCGTCACCGTATGCCACTGTGGTGGGCACTGGGCGGCCTCTATAGCCACACTATATTGTTTCAGTTTTGAGAGCGCTTTATCCAGCGCGAAACCGTGCGTTGCCGTGCTTTTATAGGGGTGACATTAAAACAATCATGCATTTCTAGGGCGACTTTTCTAACATTTAGGTCTCTGCCGAAATGCCACGATGGTATACGTTTTTATGGGGTGACATCCCCGAATATGAGTTTGTCGGAGGTGACTTTACGATCTTTTTTCTGTCACCCTAGAAAACGTGCATTGTCACCCCCTGAAAAGGACACCATGGACCAAAATCACCCTACTAGCAAAGCACTTTTTAGTAGTGTCGCCCTATAAAAACCCCCACCGCATTGAAATCGCCCCACGTAGATTTCACTTTGGCCGGGTGTCGCCCTAAAATCTACACTTTGACCCAAATAAATAAACCATCGCCAAGAGATGTACAGTGCCTCCTACGATATAGTGCTATAGCGTGACATACTTCTAGCTATGGCACTATTGGGGGGATGGCACTATATAAAGGAGGCTCAAATACACATATTTGGGGACAAAGCACACTGCTAACACAATCACGCCAAAGCCTGTATAACACAACTAAATAACTTCATCCTTTGAGTACTGAACCATGCCGGATGATACACGTGTGAGCTTATGATAACCTGTGCCAGAGGGTGAGCCCTAGCACTATATAGAGGGAAGCACTACTAAAGTAGGCACTATTGAGCGACCCCCCCCTGTATTTCATTTTCTCCCGCCAAAACACATTTGGTGGCGCCAAATCCGAAACTGGCCATACAGTCCTCTGCGGCGCCCTGCCCCCACATGCTGTGGCGTCCGCACCAACCCCTCCGCAACCCATCGCCGGCACCTTCCCAACGGCAAAGTTTGTCGGGAAACCGTGCCCTACTGTCTTCGTCGATCATCTCAAACTGTCTCACACCATCATCGCCAAAAACCACCACAACATGCAGCCGTTCATTACATATCCGGTGACGGCCACTTGCGCCCCGGATCCTCCCCAACCAAGCGCAACCACTGCGATTCCGCAGGCAAACGCACCACAGCGCTCTGCCGCAGTGCCGATAACCGCAGCGATTACAACAACTCCATCCGACGCTGCTCCGCAAACACAAGCACAAATGGCCTCATTTGCTCGCCCCCGCTCTTCGCGCCCTCTACTGCCTGCGCCAACTATACCACCTGTGCCAACCAACCCCTCCCCTATGGCTGCCACGTACTGGACCCGCCTCTCTACCATGTTGCGAGAAGCAAACGCTCTCGTTTCTTCCTTGGTTCCGCCTGCACCTTTCATACTGGACAAGGCTGCCAAAGGTGCGAAGGGGACTGTCGCTGTCGATTTACAAGGCCTGCCCTATTCGGTGTTGCAGGAAGTAGTTGCGCGGGAGAGCAGCAGAGATCCAGCATGGAAGGAAGCCTATGATGTTGGTGGGATGGGCACGTTTGTGTCGTATGGCGTGCCGGACTCATCGGCGCTGTGGGTAGCCTTTCGCTTGTCGCAAGCATGTTCCGCGGATGGGTGGAAGACACCATCGCTTGCTGCACAGCTCGAGTTGTCCGATTCTGCATTTCTGCATGACTCCGCCGTAAATTCCGTTCGTGTTCGTGTGTGGGATTCTGAACCTGCCTTTCTTCCGGTTGAGCTGTCAGAAAGGTTGTTCATTGTTCGTCGAAGATTGCATCGATACCGTAATCGTGTAGAACGATGTGTGAAAATCCTATCGGGTCTGGAAGGACGTGGGCGAAAGCCTACCGCAAGCAGTTTGGAGAAAGCGAAACTCGCTTTAGAAAAGGCCGATGCTGCCCACGCCAGGGAGGAACAAAAGATCAAGGAAAAGGAAGACAAAGAGAAAAGAAGTGCTGCAAATGCCAGAGCGAAACTTGAGAAGAAATTGGAGAAGGTTCAGAAACAGCGAGTACAAAAGTTGAGAAAGTCAACTGAGCGCAAGCGAAGGAAGGAGGCATCTGCGGAGGCCATGTTTATGAAGAGGTTTGTGAAGCAAAAGGCGATCGACCGTGTCATCTCAGACTCCAAGGTCTCTTCCGCTGCGGCTGCAGTTGTTCCAAGCGTTTGCAACGTTCATGTGTTTCCGGATGGAACAGGGAGTACTTCGACCGAACATCTCGGCGCAGTTCCTGCAAACGGAGATAAGGACGCAATGACCCTGTCCTGGTGGTTGCAATCGGAAATGGAAGCCCCAGACCGTTCAAGAATGGACGAGAGGTTCACTGCCACGAGTAATTCCGAGAAAGAGTTAGTGGCATCCTCGGATGGCGCGTTTAGGCAGCATATGCACCTTTGCGCACAGCGGCGGAAAATGGCGGAAGGCAGGATTCACAAGGTCTTGCGAGAATACCGCGCGCATCGTACCACTCATCTCGATGATCGCATGCCAAGATTTACGAGAAGACGAGCAGATGTTAGAGGACGCGGAAAGAAGGGGACGATCAAGTTGTTGCAGTTTCATGGTAACCATCGGCCAGCATTTTTCGGAGTGGACCCGCGGAAGGCAACAAAGGTTGGTCCGAGACGGCCTATCCTCAAGGAACCGGACCTGGACTATGCATACGACAGCGGAGAAGAGTGGGAAGAAGAGGAAGATGTAGAAGACTTATTAGACATTGAGGTCGACAAAGAAAGGGCCGACGAAGACGCTGAGCTGCGCAAATTGTACGGGAGTGATGAAGAAGAGGACGATGACTTCCTCGATGACGGCGATGCTGACGAGGATGATGATGACGACAATGATAGCAGCTGCGATGGCGAGGCAGCTGGCGAAGGACATGACGGGAAGAAGCCTGGGCATGAGGTCAGCCTTCCGTCATCTCTAGTGACTCAGACCGGTCCAATTACTGATGGCGATGCACCTACGGAGATGGTCGGATTAACTATCACAACGTCGGGTACCGGCAACAAGAGGGTGAACGCCTCAAAGGACGCGTCTAATGAGAATCTTCGAAAGAAGAGACGGCGGCATCGCAAATTCAAATCTTCCATTGTAATCCAGGGTGTGTCATTACCGAAAGCAGGCGAGCAGTCTCCCCTTGACTGCTACGCTGTTTCTTCTATTGAGGGTGCGCCGAGAATTCGCATGTTCAACCCGTACATCACCCATGTCACCGATTTCCTTCACGAAACCTCAATGCCCAAGCCCGCCCCGATTCGCATCCCCCGGACATCGCTTGATGAAGGTGCGAAACACGATCTTGCTGTTGTGTTAGTGACTGGCACCTCCAAAACGTCACGTGATAACCTCGTGTTTGAGTTTTGCGAGCGGAGACGTTCGCAGGGCTTACCAGTGCCCCCGAAAATAGAAGTTGTACGGGCCATCAGAGTTCTTGCAACCAATGAAAAGCGCAGCGGCGATAGTCGCGCAGCCTGGCATCTGAATGATCAATTACTCGCTGCAAGAATTCGTGAGACGCATGGGGTAGGGAAGCAGTCGAGAGCAAAATCTCCAGAAAAAGCGAACACAGCAGGCCATGACAATTCTCATCCAAGGTGCCACCTGGCACCTCATATCAGCCCTGCTGCCCCACCGGAACAACAAGTTGTTAGTCCCCCGGAAACCGTCCCGGTTCGTGCACCTCAGTCGGCGCAACCGCTTTTCACAAAACCCACCCCATTTATAGGCGACCGAAAGAGTGACGTTAGATATGCTAGTTCTCCGACCACAGAGTAAACACATAGTTGTCAAGAAGTTTTATGCAACCATTTCTTTGTATTCGATTCCGCGCAACAGTCCCTCACGACAGCCCCCCACAGCATGACAGCTGTATCTGTGCACGGTGGTGTGTGTCAAATTTGGTGCCAGATACATCAATGTCAATCGCTTTATATCTCGCAGACTTCACTCTTGAAACCCCCGAACGGAATTCTCTCGCACATCTAGTCTCTCACAGTCTCCATTTAGTGTACGTCTTCATATTCGAGACTGTGTCTTAGAACGGTGGCCACAGGATGGATTGTAAGCAGATATATTCCTGGTCTAGTCAGGAACTGGTCTAATAATTCCTCGCCTAATACGGAACTTCAAGACCATTAGGTTGCCTCTGGGTAATATACAGCTTGAACACATAAGTCTGAAACACGTTTCATTAATATAAGAGTTAAGGTCTTCAGAAGCGAGGCAGCATGAATTTTGTTTGAGGGCTTAGCGGTCCCCGAATCCCATTAGGAGTTGATTAGGAGACATCCGCTTCTGGTTTTTATGAGAACTCTTTAAAAATGAAATCATGCAGTTTACTGCGCGCTGTACAATCGCTTTTTGATAAATTGTTGTGCAAAGGAAGATGTCGAGATTTCAGTTTTCGAAGATGAGACTCCTAAACAAGAGGTAGACGGAGCCCGGCGGTTTCGAGGATAGAACGATTTAAGGCGAGAATAAAAAACCTCTTCACTGAACAACTTGGTGCAGCAGCACTTTTTATGGAAGTAGCTATTCGTTCTGTCCGTCTCAGGACGTTGCCTACACGTGTCAACTCATCTCCTGGGACCAGGAGGCTGCGGTTACTGGTAGCCTTGCCTTATTGCACGGTTACTGAATCATGTACGGTACTGTAGAACCAAAGGATACTAACATGCCTCGATCACTGCCAAGAAGGCCATTTTGAAGTGTACCCGGTCGGCGTGCTCGCCATCTTCCGCGACTTCTTTGTATAGATTAACAGGGCCATTCTTCGCCCTTCAATGTCTTTGAGAAATGCAGAATCTTGATATTCATTCCGTTTCACACCTCCGGTTTGCCCATCCATCCTCCTCGCACTCCGTGCTCACTGTTTTCGAAGCTCCGTCCGGTTTGCGTCAGCTTTACTTCGCCGTGCCATCGGCTGACCACACACTTTCCCTGCATGCAGTCTCTCTCCCACCTTCCTCTTCAATTGTGACAGAGACACCTATATCAACTGCGTTATCTTCAAATCCGAAGTCTGTATGCATTCTCGGCGAATCGCTCCTTATTGTCACTCGAGATGGCGAGCTTTTTACATTTGACACTTTAAATGGCCTGGTGCATCCAGTCGGTGAGGTTGTTGATGAGGAGAACCCTGCTTGTTCAGGCGTCCTTGATGCTGTGTCCAGTCCAGATGGCAATTTGGTTGTTGTCGTTTCACCAGTGAAGACTCTCGTTCTTGATGCTACGCTTGACGTGAGGGCAGAAATTCCACACGCAGAAGTACCAGCAATCAACGCTCGAGTTTCGTGGCGTGGGGATGGCGAATTCTTTGTTGTAGCATTGGAAGGAAAAAACCACCAACTCAGGGGGGTAGTAGTAGATCGGGAGTGTGCGACCGTGAAGACGCTTGATATAGATTCGATTGCCAATATCAAAGGTGGTCATTTGGCAGTCGCTTGGGAGCCGAGGATAGGCGGGTTCATATGTTTGTCGATTGGCGATGGTCGTCTTATCTTTTTTGAGCGAAACGGCTTGCGTCATCTTCGGAGTGATTTTGATCTTCCTTTTGTTGCTCCTCCGTTAATGCTTAGCTGGAGCGCAGATAGTCGAATTCTGGCTGTTGTACAAAAGTTTGACGCGAAGAAGACGACTGTGAGTTTGTTCATGAGAACCAATTACAAATGGTATTGCAAGAGGGTTGTGCAGGTAGGAGATGAGGTCTTGATGGTGCATTGGGACGAAGATGTGGTGGATTCCATGGCCTTGTTTACGAAAGAAGGTTTCGCCCTTTTCACGAGGTTTCGGGTACTACCCGGAACTGTTTTTGATGTGATGGGAGGTGCCCATGCTTTCGTCATAGACGGTATTAACGTGTGCGTATCGAATCTCACACGCGCTGTTTTGCCTCCACCAATGAATCATGGTGTAGTGAAATACGACGATGCCGTTCAAGAGATTTGCGGCTGGGAAGCTGACAACCAGATAGGAGCTTTGCTTGCGAATGGGGCGTTTCAAGTCGTTGAAATTAAGGACTGCTTTCATAGAGCCCAAGCGGATTGTTCTACGCAAGCAAACGGTGCGAAGATCTGCGAAAATCAGAAGTGGCAGTTTGGAATCGGCTCGGAAGCCACACCCTTTTTGACTACTCGATCGCCAGTGTTCGTTGCTCGAGACGCAGTCGTGGTTGTGAACCACGCCTCACCCTGGAGTGAAGATAATGTCGAGCCTCAGGAATTACTGCAATTGTTCTGTCTTAGCACTGACGGTTCAGAGCCAAAGTTGCTGGGTGAGTACGAGGTTGATGGATGTGTGCGAGTGCTGTCACGTTCTGTGACGAATAACGAAATTATCATGGCAACATCGAAAGGCTGCATTATCCGACTAAAGGTCGACCGGAAAAGCGGTTCGTTTGAAGAAGTGGCCTCCGCTCCACACGCAGTGTCCTCAGGTGCCGTCAGAATTCGCGATTTTACAGTCAGTCGCGAGCGGTGCATAACTTTGGTTCAAGATGAAAATGGTACCCTGAAAGCTTTCGAACTCACTGCAGAAAAGAGTCTATGTATTTCAAGGGAATGCACGTCATTCTGCTTGCAAGAAAAGTTCCTGTCCTTCACAACTACATCTCATCTGCTATATTGTGTTCTACTTGATAAGGCGAGCTCCAAATCTTATGATGAAGACAGAAATGAGATTCCTTCGGTCTGCGATGCATTGGATAGTAAGATAGGAGCGGTAGTGCAAGATAGCCAGGGCTCACAACTCCCGGCTGGAAAAGGAGCGACAAGACCGATTGACCGATCCTCCCTTATAGTGGCGGCCATACCGGGCGAGGTTACCACTGTTCTACAGGCTCCGAGAGGAAATCTCGAATGTATTTGCCCGCGCCCGATTGTTTTCGAGACTGTAGATGAGTTTGCGAAGAGTGCGAAATACTCGAAAGCATTCAGTTTGTGTCGAAAGCAGAGAGTGGATATGAATCATGTGGTTACTGCAAACTACAACATGTTTTTAGAAAACATCCGAGATTTTGTTGATGAAGTGGAAAAAGCAAGCCACTTGAGCATCTTTCTGACCTTCTTACGGGGAGACGTATCGAAGGTAAACACTGTGTGTGATGCTGCCGTGAGAACACTGAGAGACAAGAACAACAAGGGCCGTTACTTGAACGCAATTTTGACAGGATTGATACGTCGGGAACCATCAGACTTTGCAAGCGCTCTCGACCAAGTTCGAGAAGCGCGAGATCGAGATGAAGAAGAGGGTGCGGCGGCTGTAGATTATCTATTTGTTTTAGTCAAGAATGAAGAGAAAGTGTACAGGGAAGCTCTCGGCACTTATGATCTTCAACTCGCTCTTTTTGTGGCAAGGTCCAGCCAGATTGATCCCGCAGACTACTCTCAAGAGTTGAAGCAATTAAGCGTTTTGGATACGGAAAAGATGAAATATGCGATTGATATGCGCTTAGAGCGATACGACAAGGCCCTTCGCAGTCTTTATCGTTGCGGTGAGAGCAAATTTGATCAGTGCGTTTCACTTTGTCATGAACATGCTCTATACGAAACCGGGCTGGATCTTTTTCGTCGGGATGATTCCTATAGAAAGAATCTAATGGATGGATATGGCAAGCACTTGGTTGAGACGGATCGTTTCGAGGATGCGGGGTCCGTTTTTATTCGAAACCAAGACTGGCTGCAAGCGAGCACCAGTTTCCGAAAAGGTGGTCAGTGGAAACGGGCTGTGAGTGCTGTGTGGCGCTGTGAACAATTATCTGTTGAAGAGAAGCACGATCTCCTGGACTCTTTGGTGGATGAACTAGTAGACAATGGAAAGCTGCGAGAAGCAGCTCACGTCAGGCTTCTACATCTTGATGATATTGATGGTGCTATTGAGCTGCTTTCGCGGGATGAGGAATGGGAAGAAATGTTTGAATCTATTGCTCTGCACTGCGGCAGAAAAGTAAGTAAGGAAAGTTCTGCGGCTGCGGAAGAAAAGATGCTGTGGCAGAAAGTTGCGGGTATGATCCTGGAAGGAGCGGATGTGTTGCTATCAACACTTCGAGAAAACGGGGGAAAACTGCGCGAGCGTAGAAAGCGTTTGGAAATTGTGCGTGAGGCGAAACGTGAGATATCTGCTCGATTGGCAGCGAACGGCGGACCTATGGATGAAGCGGATTCAGACGCGTTCTCGGCTAGCACGGCGTCATCTCTGGTGAGTAATCTGTCCGATGTGACATTTACGTCACGCACATCGGCCACGAGCGTGTTTACCACGGTATCCGGGACGGGTCCGATGAGCGTTGCGAAGCTGGAGAAACAAGCGGAAAAGAGGAGACGAAAGGCTGCGCGGAAACGGATCAGGGAGGGGCATCCGCGGGAAGAGGAGTACTTGGTGGGATATTTAAAAAAGTTGGTGCCCGGCGCATTTCTGAGGCAGAGAGTGCAGAAGATGGGAGTGGCGTTGATGTTCATTGGCAAAGTAGATGATGTCAAAACGCTTTTAAAGGAAATGACTGCATATGTGGACGAGACGAAGTTGCTTCCTGAGGATGTGCTCGACTCGGAAGAACTAAGAGAAGCAACCACGGACAAGGCTTGGCTTGAGCCAGGGAAGGTTGTGGAGTTGCTGTAAAGCTAAACCTCAAAGAAATAAACTGCCGGGAGACGTGGGACGATGTCGCATTCGGGTCCTTACAGGCCGCGAGCCTCGTGGGTATAACAGCGGGCTAGCTAGAGAGGTAGAGTGTCTCGACTGGTGCTCGATTGTCAGTAGTTATCTCCGAGCCAAAAGACAAGACGGCTAGAGTGTTTGTAGCCTTGGAACAGCCGCGGAAAACGCCATTCCCACATACGCTTTGTACACGTGTCAGTTGGAAGTCATTTGCCGCCATTGTTTAAACACTCAAAACGAAAGCCAACATTTTTCAATCGCTTAGTTTCCCGCCGAGGACACCTCCGCCCTCCGCACCTCGACGGCAACGTCCGTCCCCATCTCGCGATGGACACCCCCTTCGACAACCTCCCCTACCAAATCCCGGGCCCCGCTGGTGGCCTCTCCTTCCCGACCTTATCGCAAGCCGAACGTGGCGAGCTAAACGACTCTGACGCCTTCCGAATTTTCCGCCAGCCGTCCTGGCATGCGCTGCTCACCCATCTACGCGCCCCGCCGTTCGGCACATCCCATCTCCATTCCAGCGTCGCCCTGCTGCGCTCGCACGCGCTCAGCGATCGCTTCGAGCGCGTCCCGCACCTCCCCGTCCTCGTTGACGAAATGGCTTGGGTGGGGCATGATGCTTCGGTGAAGCTCAGAGACCCCACTGGCGTCATTCGCGCCACCATTCATGCAGACGTGTTTCATAAATGGAAGACAGGGATTGAACATGGCGCCGCCTTGCTTCTCAATGGCGTCGCCGCCGTCGCGTATGTGGAGAAGAGACCGAAGGGCTTCCGGACGGACGCTGGCGAGGCTTTGCATGTGAGTATTCAGCTTTGTCATGTCTTGCAAGTATTCCCGGTTGGAAAAAAGTTGCCGTGCGGCAAGCTTGGTAGTGTTGTTCAAGACCCGAAGGAAAGCTACACCCCAAAGGCACTGGCCCCGCCCGTTGTGAAGAGGCCCCCGTCGCGACGCGCAAGGCATTCTCAAGAACAGCGCATTCCATTACAGGCGAGACAGGAGCACCATGCAAACAACAGAATCATGCGAAGACCCAACTCTGCGACGTCTCATCCCCCATATCGTGACGTACGTACGGAATCTTCAATCTGCGCTAGCGTTTCGTCTTCATGCAGCCGACTAACGGGGAATCACTAGCCGCTTTGTATCTATTCTTGTGCATAGCAGAATGGGACAGCTTCCTTTCAACAGTCGCCGCGGCCGATACCGGGCAATCGCATGCGTCCAAATGATGGAGCTCAGCCTAACAAGCGGCCCTACACGCCGCACCGCATCCCTTCCCATCCAGGCATTCGGCGACCTGGCATGCAACCGCCGTTTAAGCGACCCACCTCGCATCGATTGCTAGCGCCTTCTCGAGTCAGTCCTCTTATTGCCCCACTGGCGGTACCTGCTGAAACGATAACGGACGATCAACTAGACGACCTGCTCGGGGACTTTGACGTCGACGCCGTCATTGCCGCTAGCGGACGCTCTCAACCTCTGCCTACGAAGCAAGCCGCTCTAACAAGCCAGGAAGCCCCAATGATCACGCCGCAACCAAAATCAGGTGACCAAATCACGAAAGCTGTTCCCTCTATCTCTTCCGCAGCAACAGCAACACTCGTTGCGAACGATCCAAAACAGGCCCGAAATCGTCCTTTAAACGTCCGTCCAAACGAGTCGATTGGTGAACAAGGAATTAACAATCTAGCTTCGGATGTTCCAAGTGCTGGAGGTAGAAAAGTGAATACCGAACTAAATGCTGCCCAAACTGAAAATCCCTCCCGCTCCGCGGTGGATGAAGCAATGATTGACAACCTACTGGAGGGGCTCGACAGCTCCGATTTTGGATGACAGCACGAAATGGACCGGGAGCTTTACTATGGACGGACTTCAGCAGCCTGTATAGTTATCGCCTGTACCTGTAACGTTGGAAATTGAACCAGAGCTGGAGAACGCCTTTGTCAAACGAGCATCGGTACCCTCTTCTATGGGAGTGCTCCCATGGCCTATTCACAATTTTGAAAGCTAAGTCTTCGTACGGCGGACCGGCCTTGAATGTAATTATAGACACTTCAGGGTTATCAGTTCGCGAGATAGAGAAAGTAGGCGTAACAGATGGGTCAATGAGGTCAGGGTAGAAAACATTAAACCTGTATCCTTGTACAGTCTTTGGAGGAGGGTTGTCATGATCGTAGTGTGTCCGGTTATACTTCGTCCAGTCGTATCCCGTGTGCACGCGATTGTAGTACCGCGGCTTCCTCGGGCGATATTTGTCGTTCCACGCGTATCCAGCTGCCGGCTGTTCCCGTTTTTTGGTCACCGCATCCACCTCTTCCGCAAACTTCTCCTCTCCTTCGCGGAGGCCGACTGCGCTCTCTTTCCGCAACATCTCGAAATCAGCAGCACTTCCCTCGGGGTGATCAAGAGCCGGAGTGGCCTGTGTCGGTTTCTCCTTCTTCACAAATGTGGCCGCCCTCTTCTCTCGTTCTTCAAGCAGGGTCGAGTTCATATTACGAAGCTTGTCTTCGGCCATGAGTCGACGAATGCGAGCCAAAGCCGCTGTCCAAAAGCCGATTTCTGCAAACTCGTTGTTCTCGCGTGTCTGGCGCATGCTCAGCTTCTTAGATATCTCGACTTGCATACTCTGAAGCTTTTCGAGGCTCTTTCCCTTCAAAAGAGCATCCAGGTCTTCTCTGACGGCACTATGCACACCATTCGCACCGCCATAAACTTGGGCGGCTTTCGCACTTTCAAAAGCACTCGTCACGCATATCTTCACACACTCCCACCAATCTAGACGCACACGCTGGTTGAAAGAATTGTTGTCCTTGTCCTTCGGAAAGTCCTGGATGTATTCAAGTTCGAGCTCAACCTCTTCTGCTAGTCGCTCCAAGTCCTCCACCCCTCCCAGCGTCAACTCTGCTAGGCACTCTACAGGATTCTTTTCCTCTGGTTTCACATCGAGCATGTCAAGTCTCAAATTAAGGGCAAGTCTGTCCGTTCCGCAAGGCCGTTCTTGCCGAATGCGAATAGCTTGCCTGAGGAAATGCTGCGCCCCATGAAACGATGCTTCCGCCTGATGCCAGTCCGCGTTCTCCGCCTGCTCCTTCTCTCGAGCGAGTTTGGCTTGCTCTTCCTCCCACGCCCTCTTCTCAGCATCCCTTTCCGCTCTACGCCGCTTGGCAGCTTCCAGCTCTTGGGCGAGTTCCTTCTGCCGCCGGATTTCCTCGTCCTTGCCAGTTTCCTCACCCCGGCGGCGCTGCTGGTCAATTTTCTTTTTCCAAACGAAAAGTCCTGTAGCCGCTGCGATACCGTTCTCCGTTATGTCCTCGCTTTCTGGCCGGGCTCGTTTTGCTGAGCGCTGATGGTCATCCGGTTCCTCTCGCTGGCGACATCGCGCATGTCGCTCGTCGCGGCGTTTTCGCTTTTCCTCCCGACGTTGTTTCCGCTCCTCATGCGTTTCGCCATCACGATGGCGTCGCTCCTCATCCCTACTCCGTTCCATGATTCCTCTGAACCAAAGGATTCGGTCTAGAGAGAGGATGTTGGCACCGGCGGTTGATTTTGGCCGGAGCACAGCTGCACATGATAAATAGAAAGCGGACCCCAAGGCCTTAAAATATACCCGACAAGAAACACCCTGCTGGCATCTTTGAGCACAACCAATCCGACGGCGCCGCCTTCACGCATTTGTTCGACGTCGAAACTACAGTCCCCTCACAACACGCGACATCGACGCTGCCATAGACAAGCGGTTCCCAGGTCTTCCGCAACTATCCTTAAGAGCATTAGGAAGAACTAGTTTTGAGACCTCTACCAAGCATTGCAAGACGCCGATCCAAAATGCGTTTCTTACTCCAGTTCCGGGGACGACACAACGACCTCCGCCTTTCCGAATTCCTGGGCGTTGTGGCGCTGGTGAGAGGTTTGGAGAAGCTTTCCGCACCCGAAATTCATCTTGTACCAGCGCACGAGGTATTGACCGGAATTTCCACTTCGGAAGGCTCTCGGCGAGGTGCGGCTGGTGTAGTCTTGTACGGCGAGATCTTTTACTATGCTGAACTGGCAGACGAAAAGGAGGCCGCAGCCGTGGCATCCCGTACCGTGCTTTTGCGCGCCATATACGTCCCTGTGGGACATGGTATTGACTATGATTCGTGCAAGGCGACTATTGATACAACCGTGTTCGCAGGTGCGCTAGATACCGTGCGTGACCCGCAAACCAAGCTTAGTTTCCGTTGTGTTGTTGATGCGTTTGGGCGCTCTATCGATCTCGACAAACAGCTTGAACGAATCCACCGATTCTCAGATCTGCTACTAACGTTTCCGGGGCGCGTCAAGCTGCACAACTCGGACGTTGAATTATGCATCATTGAGGACGCGTTCCCCGTCAAGGGCCACGGGTACAAGGAGGAAAACGAGAGTCCGAGGCAAGTGCTTCTTGGCCGCAAAGTTGCGGATGGGTGTGGATTTATTGGTTCGAAGTATTCGCTCAAGCGTCGACGATATATTGGCCCGACAAGCATGGACGCCGAGCTGGCGTTCGTCATGGCGAATATGGCAGGTGTCGAGAAAGGCTCCTTGGTGCTCGACCCCTTCTGCGGGACAGGAGGGATCATGGTGGCATGCAAGGCACTAGGCGCGCATGTAGTAGGAGGTGATATCAACATTCTCGCGTTGCGCGGAAAGGGGAAAGACAGAAATATCAACGCGAACTTGCAACAATACGGCCTGGGTGGTCCGCTAGGCTTGATGCGAATGGACGTTCTGAACTCCGCGGTACACAGGAGCAAGACGGGTTGGTTTGATTCCATCGTCTGCGACCCGCCATACGGAATCAAGGAAGGCATGCGCGTGTTTCGGGAAGACTCCATCAGTCCGGGGCTTGAAAAGAACCATTTCCAGGGTACAGAACGAGTGCGCTTCGTGGACTTCTTGCACGGCATCCTTGAGTTCGCAACATCAACACTGGTGCACGGAGGGAAGCTCGTGTATTGGTTGCCCACAACGCAGGATTACATGCCTGAGGATGTACCAACTCATTCGGGATTGCGGGTGCTTTTCAATTGCGAGCAACCGTTGACGACCCGGATGAGCCGTCGAATGGTTACCATGGTGAAAGTATCTGACAAAGAGCGGGAAGAGAACGAGCGCGCTAAAACCGAAGCCAGGATCGCAAACAGGAACGTTGCGCAAGGGATGCGGCAGGATCGAGTACCCGCACATTTTGACCTTGCCAAGAAATTGCTGAGGCAACCAGAGCGCGCAGAGGCGCGACTACAAACCAGGGAACCGGTACCCATGTGACGAGTAAATATTTTGGCAGGATAAAGTGCGTAGAGGGCATGCTAATCTCGCCGCGATGCGCTGTACAAATGTAATGCAGTCTTCGTGTTATTGTTCTCTCGTGTATGTGCAGTATGTCCACAAACGGAGACCCCGCCTGATTTCCCGTGTCTTCAACTGAATATGCTCTTCTACAAAAAACAAAAGCAGATAGGCGCTGGATTCGTCACCAGATCAGAAATGGGTCGGCGTTCACAGTCTCATCTTTCTCGGATTCAACGGTGATGCCTTTTCGCTTTGCGTGTGGGTGTAGCTCAGGCTCGCTGTACCCGTTTTCATATGCGACATTTTCCTGATATTCAAGCATCGTGGGGGCAACCTCCGGCAACCCAGCAGCAGCTCGAAGCTCCCTCGGAATGGGATCGCCTGGAAAGAGCATGGCATTGAGCTCACTAAAACGATGAGCGCGGTGATAATACTGTCGCTCACAGAAGTAGACCTTCGACCATCGGCTCCCCAGCTTGGTGACGACTTTTTTCACGAGCTGAAAGTTTTCATTGCTCAAGACCTGGCACTTGCGGGTGATACTCTCCACAAGATTGGTGTCGCGATTGTCGCAGCACAGAATCTCATGGCTCTCGCACTTGGAGGGCCTCATGACTTCCGCCATGTCGTCCTTGTGCAAGATGATATCCTGTACGGACCAAAACCATCGGCCTTTGAATTTTGGCTTGCCGCTTTTCGGCTCCTCGAACAGCTGCTCGATGACGCAGACCCACTCTTTGCCTTCGTCGGAATACATGGCTACGTGGTCGCCGACACGGAAACGAGTGCCCAGATAGTCCACGGCTTGGAACAGGTCGAGCTGCAACTTGGTGTTGTAGCAAGCCGGAGGGACCAGCACTGGTTCAGTGGTGACGATTTCTGGAGCGAGGTGTGGGTCCTCGGAGAGATGGCGCTTGCGGTTTACCATGTCGCATGTAGGTTGTGAGGAGTCAGAGGTCGATCCAGTACGACCAACAAGGTTAATTAAGAATGTACCACAGTTCCTCGCAGGCCACGAGGAGGAGCTTCGGCCAGCTGTTGGTGATGTGGTGGTGAAAACGGAGAGAGCGATGAGGGGTTTGGGATGGCCGCGGGGAAAAGCGCGGGAAGGAAAGGGTATTGCCGGCAAGGAGGGGAGAGCTTGTTCTGCAGTAGGAGGGCTGTGAGGTAGAAAGGGTTAAAAAATTAGCCTTCCCTGGTACTGTACCATTCGGGAATCTCGGCGCACAAGACGAATACTGTACAGAAGTGGGTGAGGTGTGGTGTGTGTATGGTGCTGCAAAGTAGGTGTTTCGCACACGTGTGTACGTGTATACTGTACGCACCGCCAAATCGCTCCTGGCACATGTCATGTGATGTATGATGATGTGCACGGCCCCTCTCAGGGTGTGTCTTAACAGACGCTTGTTTGCCCGCGTTTGCCCGTGTTTGCCCGTTTTTTGTTGAAGAAATTAAAAACACATTTTGGACACGTGGGCAGCTGTACAAACTCCTTACACCCTCCCTCTGCAGCTCTGACAATATTTTGTCAGCCATAAATCTACGGTTAAATCTAGGGTTATAGTATACACCGCGGCGTTACAAGGTCGTCTCGCTGATCCTCTACTCTCAAGCCTCACCCTACCGCCGCCGTCGTAATTATGCAGTCATTGTCCTGCGCAAGAAAAGCGCTTTCAATAGCAGTCATGTGCATACTGCACTGCACTCAATAACCTCCCCTCTCACGCTTCTCCGTACTGAGGGCCAGTCCTAACAAAGGACATTTTTCTCTTTTTTCCTTTCCCTCGCCCCGTTTTTATTGAGTTCTTCACTAAAATCGGAAGCACATTGCTGTAGTTTTTACTGTAATGCCATCCCAAAGTTCCACTCCTCGGAAATGGAACAGAGTCTGGACGGTCTGCAGATCCATGCAGCATGGAAGGTACAGCAACGCCTCCTCGCGCATGCACATGGCCCAGTCTGACTCCCTGTAGCTCGACAAAAGCAAAGCTGGACGACGTGTTGCTATAATGAGGTCCCTCGATGTGCATGACCAAAACTGGGCTGGATTGAGATATGAAACGAAAGATATGGAAGGGATGGAGGGTGCGGGGAGAGACTGTGTCGGTGTCGATGTTAGGAGGATGACGCGGTGGCGGGGACAATAGCATGTCGGAGGATGTGTGTTGGTCACGGTACTGAGGAGGTGAGGAAGATGGTGATGGGGCGTGGTGGTCGGGCGCGAGGTAGGGGTGGCGGGGAGGAGGGGACGTGGGGATTTTGGGGGGGAAGGAGGGGTGGCGGGGAGGAGGGGACGTGGTCTTATTTGGGGGGGAAGGGGGGTTGGTGGCGGGGGGGAGGGAGCGAGGGCGGGGTGGTTCACAGGAAAGGGATTTCGGCGAAGCCACTTCATCATCGATCATGAACTAGAGAGCAGCCTCCCCGGCTTCTCTCCATTTCATGATCGATGCCAAGGAGGCATTTGATTTCAAAAAGCTGAACTCTGGGTACCCTTCTGCCGTCCGGTGGTGCTCCGTTTCCTAAACAGAGTGTAATGTTGAGAGAACCAATGTTTTGATCTGCATGTGCTCGTATTTGGATTTAATTCCACTCTTTCATTGTACTGCAAGTGCCACTGCACCGCATCGAGTCCATGGAATTTTAGTAGTGTGCATACGGACTGAGTGTGGACTGGTACTTCCTTTAGCCAATGGATTTCGACCAGTTTGCAGAATTACCAAGCATTACAGTGGTTCTGTGTAGCATTCGTTGTGGCGTGCGATTAATTTAATGAAATGACCCGGCCAATAGCGTGACCGCAACTGGTTGAAGAAAAAAAAAAAAAAAAGAAAAGCGCCTGTTAGGACTGGCCCTGACTGTTTTGCTACAACACTTTCGCCACTCCATCACTCCCACATCATAATGCCACAACAACGCTACAATGATTTCTCTCACCGCCGCCGTCGCAGTCCTGCCCTTAAGGCAATGCTGGGGAAATCACTTCTTATCTATTGTTTAGGTCTCCACTGCGCAATTTCAGAATTCCCGAGGCCCCGGTTATCGCTCAAACCAAAGGATATGCATCGTTTTTGGAAATTTTCGAAGGCAAATCGCATGTTCAGCGATAATGAGTTCGCCTTAGCCTATCGGATGCAGAGGGAAACATTTGAGAAGCTCTTACATTTAGTTTATCATCATCTAACGAAGAACGAGGAGATGGCGAAGCGCGCTGGACGCGAGCTTGTGTGACCTGAGGCTCGCCTAGGAATTTTACTTCGCGTTATGGGCGGTGAGTCCGAATACGGGTGCATGGCACATTTTGAAGTGGGGAGGAGTACAGTATATCAAGTGTTTAAAGAGACACGCGATGTACTGAATAGTGCTCTAAGTTTACCCGGGCTGCTGGAAGATTTCGAGGGTTTGAGAAAGTCCTCAGACGAGTTCCAAACTTCTCAGACCCCTCCAAACCCTTTACCTGGGTGTGTGGGTGCCTTAGACGGAATTGCAATCAAGATCAAGAAGCCAGCGGCGCATGAGCACCCCGCCACTTACTATTGCAGAAAAGGATTCTATGCACTCCCAGTCCACGCAGTTGTGGACTCGAACTATCGCTTTTTAGATTGGTCAGCTATATGCAGGAGTTCTACGCATGACTCTCTTCCTCACGCCGTGTCCGGTTTGGGGAGATATTTTGACGAGGGGAATCTGATAGTGCCATTTTGGATCGCGGGCGACGAAGCGTATGTTTGTTCTAACTACTTAATTGTCCCGATTCCTGGCTCGCGTGCCACATATGTCGAGGATGCGTTCAATTTTTATCATTCTTCACTACGCATGCACGTTGAGCAGGCGATCGGCGTTTTAGTGAAGAAATTCAAGATTTTGAAAATGCTTGAATTCTCTGTTTCAGATTCCGCGAAGGTGATTATTTTGGCGATGAAACTGCACAATTTTTGCGTAGATCATGGGCAAAAGATCGCCAGTAGGGCATCTATCAATACGGAAAGGGTTCTTGAAGAGCACAGCATGATGACTGAAACACGGAAATGGTACAGCGAGGGGAAGCATGCATATGTCGATCTGGCTGGGCGAGTCGAGGCTAGCAATAATATGGATGCTATGCAGAAGAGGAATCTTTTGGTTTCCATCATTCGCGATGGGCGATTCGTCAGACCTGCGGCGGGGGAGCTTCCAGTTCCAGAATTTTTTTTGCAATTCGTCTAGCCAACATCTCCTTTTGATTGTGTTTTCTTTTTTTTCAGTTGCCTCACTTCTTGGTTGGAAGTGAGGGGTGGTGGTGCGACTTTTTTGTGCGAAGAGCTTTCAATTCTGATGCGATTTTGTTTGCGGCTGGGTCTGGGCCTGGGCCTGGAATCAGCAAGGAAGTCACGACTAAGTTTAGGAGATAGTTGCGAACTATTTTCAATCCGGAAAGCAGGTCCCGATCGCCTGAAAATGAGAAAGGAATAGTCAAGAGCCCTCATATTGCACGCAGTCAAAATGCTCCAACTACTGCAACAAATGACACCGCTTCTCTCCATGGGGGAAGGAAAGCAGCTTTGATTCCACGTCAGGAAGCAGGTCCGGCAGTGTCTCCGACAAAGGTGGTGGAGAAGCCTGGATATTCTCGTTCCTCATCTCGCATACTTGCTAGCAACACAACTGCTGGGACTGTGTATCCTCGAAGCTCTGAGCATGGACCTCGACGACGACGCGGCGGAGGGCGACCCATCCTCCATGCTCTTTCGCGACATCGGTCCGAGCGTGTCCGTGCCCAACGGCATCCATCACCTCCCTGCCGCCGCAGCCCACCTCCCTCCCCGCGCGAACGGCCTTCTAGCCGCCCCGCCGCGTGAGTTTGCCGTGCTCGCGTCCGCCCCAGCCCCGCCGCCGCCTTCATACCCCCCGCACGAGCCGCCGCTGGACGGACCCGTGCCGCCGCCGCCCACTACTGCGTCGCCGGACGCGGAACACGCAGACTCGGACGAGGACTACCCCGCCAGCCTCGAGGGCGCCCGTCTGGACGACGAGGACCCGCTAGTTCCGGGCGACGTGCACAGCCCGTACGAGAGCGTCGCGCGCGCCGCAGAGGCCGCGCTGCTCCGCCGCACGGACAGGGATGACCTGCCAGGGCGCGGCCCGGCGTCGTTCGCGTCTGGCCGCTCGCGACGCGCAGCATCCAGCCTGTCGGCGAGCGACTTTCTCAGAAGGAGCGAGTACACCGCCTACTCGGAGGACGTCGCCAGCGTTGCCAGCTTCGCGCGCAGCGTCGAGGACGACATGTTCGACGAGGACGACAGCTTTGGAGGAAGGATGCACGGCGTCGATGTCATGCCGGAGATGGGCGGCATGGTGTACTCCAACTCAGCCGCCGTGCCGAATTTGACGTAGCGGGTGGGAAAGGCGTGTGGGCGGGATCGGCGGGATCGTGGTGGGGGCTTATTTTTGTTATAGAGGGAGGGTGGGGGTGGGTGAGAGGGCTCTCTTTCGCGTTGGTTGTATATTTTTACGGGAGGAGGGCGTCGTCGACGGCACAGTAAAGAGGGGAGACGAATCGTCAGCTATGATGGAGAGGCGGTTCGTATTAAATTCTCGACTACTCTCGAGCCACCGAAGTGCACAATTCACCGTCCCAAACATCACATGTCAGCTTTCCACACCATCTGCGTCATCACGGCCGTACTTCCCCCCCTCCCCCCCATCTCTTCCACACCAATGTTGTTGACAACAGCCTTCACCGCCCCCTTGCGTCCGCCGCTCCCCCCCTCCCGCCGGCCCTTCTGCCGCCGGCCCCGCCTCATCTGCACGCACCGCCCGCCCACCCATGTCTCCGCCGCGCGCCGGGCCGAGACCATCTGGGCGGCTCTGCAGCGCGCGCCGGCCGAGCCAGGCATGTACCGCTTCCTGGACGCGGCGGCATCCGTGCTGTATGTCCGAAAGGTGTGCCGC